TATTATTCTGTGTGTCAGCAAACTGCATAAAAATAAAACCAAATGCGAAGTTTGCCCAGTTGGAGCTTGACACAACATGCTTTAGATTTACTGATGCAGTTGGCAGTTGCATACTGCAATTTGCAGTTACAGAGTGGACTTGATCGATGGACAAAATGCTGCCTGAAACCTAATCACAGAGTTGATTCAGTAGCAACCAAAATGATATTCTTCTTGATTAGCTTTGCTCATTTATAATATGTGTTCTTCAGCAAAGGTAGTAATCAGTAGTTATTTCATAATATATAATAGATTATACTCAACCTTATAAATGCTTTTGCTTAAATACTCAAACTAAAGAAAATATTACAGAATTAGCCGTAATTAGGTAATTACCTTCAATATCTTAGTAAAGTGCTGATAAATGTATATAGGGTATATACCCAATAAATTGTTGTAGATTTCATTCCCTAAAAGTAACCATAGATACACTTTAACTGTGAGTATCTAAAGGCAATCGTGGTATCTTTGGAAAATATCATTTAATTTTGTATACACTCGTGGAGTTTATTATAATTTTGTTGAGGGATTTGTATGGCATTGAAAGAGGCATCTCAGACCCCATCAATGTGGATATATTCTCGATCAGCAGCATTAGCCAAGTTGATGTGGCTATTTCTTCTGTCACCGATGCAAACTAGTTCCTCAGTTTTGAAGCAATCTTGTTGTTCGCATATCATTATAACCTATAGCTTCCATAGGAAGAATCGGTTGGGAGATGAGTTCTTAAAGGGACAAATTATTTGTTTAAAAAGGTAAAAATTATATTCCTCGGACTATCAGATAGCTTTCATAGCGAAAATTGTTAGGTTTCTATTTGATATAAACTTCGACATGGCTGAGATAGTCGTTCTTTGTTGTCTTAAGTTACATTTCCCTTGATAGAGCTTTTCTCGAACACCCTGTGACTGTACCCACAAGCAGCTTGATTGAATTAAAAGGACGCATCCAAGCGCTGGATTACAATGGCAACAAACTGATGTTGATGTGCCCGATAAAATCGAAATCGGTCGACGGTAGACGGTAGACGGTAGTCCAAGGACGACAATCAAGGCTTCATCTTTTGGGGGTTGCTTCGTGCTCCGGCATCGGAGGGTTGAACTAAAACGCAGTTTCCCAAAAATTGCGTCTCAAAGCAAGTTCAAAGTGGTGTCTTTACTGCACACGTTTTTCGCTGTTGTTGTTGTTTTGTTTTATTGTTTTTTCTTTTCTTTTGGGCTCTGGGAAAAGTGCAAGCTTTACGGGTGTAACGGTACAGTTAAAGGAGGCAGCAACCACCCGTAGTTAATGCTGACTTCTATCCATCCTGCGCAGCATAAATTACGCATTTTCCTCTTTTATGTTTGGGTTTTCCTTTTGGCTGCGACGCAGTTCGCGTTTGTTATTTATGATTTATGTGCTGCGATGACACAGGACGAACAGGCTCAGCCTGTGTGTACGCAGTGTACGCAGTATACAGTAAAGTTGCAGCCGTTGTCCCCACACCCAACCCGTCCAATTGAATCGTACTGTGGAAAATTACACGCAAATTGCACGCAACACGCGAAGACCGAGAAAACTTCGCATGGAAATGACGGCGAAAATGCCGTTCATGCATGCGCTGTATAGTTCTTGTCACAGCCAGCAACAATCCGGTACCCTACACCCCACCACACATCCAATAAACCGTATCCCGTCAAGGATGACGCACGACACATGCGTGTAAGTTCCCGACAGTTGCCTGCCCCCGTGGCATGAGGCACTTTAAATAAATTTATACATTGTTAAATGCTAATCCTTAAATATATGTAGAACCCCACCAGCTCTACACCGCTGGACTATGAGTCAGCCTGCGGTCTGTCCAAGTCTTCTAGGCTTCACTTGTAACTGGTAACTGGTTGGTCAGACTAGCAAATGTTGCGGTTGCGGTCGCTATATTTACTGCGAGGTTCCGGTTTCCGGTTAGATCAACAACCACTTAGAGACCCTCTCTATAAAAACTGCGAAAAGTGTGTAGCATTAAGCCGATTAAGTTTATTAAAATATCTTTCCTCCAACTTAATATATGGCTTAAGTTCTTCTTTAAAGATATTCATCTTTCACTTATCGCATTTTCGCCATGTTTGAGGAAGATCTTATCGATTTCCTCGTAGTCTCCCTACCACAAAGCATCCCACTGATGAATATATATTCAAAATTGCAGGTGTCTATCTACCTTTAAGGGTGGCAAATAAGTATTTGTTCCCGGTGGCTATTATGACACGTTAATATTTAAATTGAAAATATTTATATACGAACGCATATTTAAACAAATACAAAGATGCTAATGAACTTCAACTCGGGTGTACAATTTAAAATTGGCTCTGCACATTAAATTTTGTTGTGCAACTTCGATGGTCGTCGCTTAAATTTCAATGAGTTTTCCCGCTTGCCGTTAGCAGCTGGCCAACCATTTTTTAATATTGTTTTTTTTTTTTGTTTTTTTGGCATTTTTATGGCATGCGAAAAAACATCAACAAAAACATACAGTTTAATAAATAAGCGTGTGTCTGTGTATGAGTCTCATATGTCTGTTGGTCTGTGCCGGCCGCAGTTCACTTTTTAATCACTTTTCATGAGCTTTTAATTAAAAGCCAGTCGTCGGTCCAGAGACCAAAACTCCTCCCTCCGTCCGCTCGTCCCAGTCTGTTCAAATTTTTGAAAAAACCAAACGCATAAAATACTTAACAAGGCTCTAGTGGAAAAAAAGAAGAAAAGCAAAGAATTCAACAGTCGAAATGGTTTGTACCCTGTAGCCAATATATATATATATATTTCGGGTAAATATTTAACGAGTTTTTGTTATTAAATATTCGAATAAGAATTGGTATCGCTCGGTCTAACATAATAAATATATGTATGTGTTTATATTCGATAGGATCTGAGCAGTCGCTGTGGCATTTTGTTCGGTCTACTACAGGATACAAATGTACAAAATACATATAAATTCTCCTCTCATTTCCGTAATAATAATGTGCGAAAGGATATTAATTATGAAACAAGCGAGCGGCAGGAAGCACTGGCAATAAAAACAGCCAGCGACAGGCAACACCATGCGTGACCAACAACAACAACAGCAACAACAACAACAATAATAACAAGAGGAACAACAACAACAACAATTGGAACAGAACCAATCTTGTATATATTGTATTTTATGCCAGCGGCCACATGGCCAATGCCCGGTGGGCGGTGGGTGGGTGATGTGTGTCGCAACGGAAACGGGAGCAACATGTGCAACATGTCGAACGGAAGTGTCGGCCATATTCTACACACGCACAGGCAAACACACACACACACACACACACACAGAACATGTGTAAGCCTAAATAGGCCCACGTCTATCAGCAGGCAGGAACCAGGACCAGAACCAGAACCAGAACCAGAAACCAGGCATCAGGACAAGAGTCATTAGGAGCTGGGCCAAGTAGATTTTTATGTAATGCCGCTTGGTTATTGCTTTTATACATTTATTTTATTTCATTTGCCACACACGCAGACACACACACACACACACACGCACACACACACACACACACACACGCACACACAAATACACACACATATTTCATATTTGTACTTTTCGCAAAAGCAGAGAGAATTTCTGGATTTTTAAATTTGCAACACAACTTGCAACGCATATTTTATGAAACAAATGTTTTTATATATATAAAATAAAATAATACAAATATTGTTTGCTTGTTTTTTACTATACATATATTATATATATAAACAAATATTAAAACGATATGCAAATTGATATACGCTAAAATGTGGCAGACTCGAAAATAATATTTTGATACTTTTCGCTTAGCTACTTGCAACTTCTTAATTAAACTAAGCCAACTTAAATTATTTAAGTTAAAATTAAATGTTGTACAAATATTTAGCTAGACATTAAAGTTTGTTTGTTGGCCAAGATCGCCGATGAGAATTTTGTAAATTTGGCTGCTACAAATTGTGTGCAAGGTATTTGGAATTCGAATTCTTTGGCCCCAGAAGGGACAGAACGGCTGGCAACGAGCCATGGCCAGGGCTTCGTCCTAGTTGAAGGACCAACACTGGGATGAGCAAAAAAAAAGGAGCAGTTCGCCTGTCAATGACAGCGCCGACGTCAACATCAACGCCGACTGTCGTCCATCAGAGTTTTGTGCGTCAGTTTGTGTTGAGCACGTTGCCGCTTCACGTGACACTGACGAGGATGCCTAGGATACCAAGGATGCCAGGCACCAGCCAGTACGCAGTCGCCCAGCACACACCCACCCACCCCCATCCCTCACAATCTGCCCCCATCCGACTCCAATCGCCCACGTTGCGGCTGCCTTCTGCGTGTAATTGCCGTTGTAATGTCGCCCGAACGCGAATATAATTGCTAAAATGTTGCCTCCAAAACGACAGACGTGCCAATGACCAGTCGACGGTCGTTGGTCGTTGGTTGTTGGTCGCTGGTCGTCGTCGGTCTACGACACTTTTCCATTTGAATTTAATTTTAATTTACGCCCAACGGCCGCTTTTGCCCCGGAAATTGGCAATGGCAATGCCAGAGCACATTCCGCACTTCAACCATCCCACTGCCACTCCCATCCCCCACTGCCAACTTCCATCTCATGCATAGAGACCAGACGGAGAGCATCGTTGACCAAATTCGAGAGGCCCCGTCCGCACCGTTGGGTTAATGAGATAACCGCCGGCAGACATTTTTGTGCAACTGTCCAAATTGTAAAAGGAAGTCTAATTGAAGCATAGCCCCAAGCAATTAGTCGATCAAATTGAAACTACCAGCATTTAAATACAGTCATAATTTGAAAAAGAATTTTTAGCTGTTGATAAATTAAATTTTAATACATTTCAATATTATAAATAATTAAGCAAATTGTGAAAATAAACTAAGAAATTTGGGGCATGGGAAAACTTCGAGATTAAGTGTCAAATTCCAATTATTATTAGAATTTTCCATAGGCCATAATTTTCCACTACTCCAATTGACACATTATCTTGTTGTGAGTAAACCCCTTAATTTGTCTCATTAATAAGTTTGATGAGTTGTGCGTCTATGAGTAGTTTTCCGCTGTCCAAAGATCGTGCAGTCAAACGCCAACTCATTAATTGTATGCAATGTAAATGACAATTAGCAGAGCCATAAAACTAGAATGAATATTTAAATGAAAACATCGAAAACTGTATACCCTAGCACATTAATATTGATTAGAATGAACTTACAATAATACATTATATATTCAATTAAAATCACAGCTGTGAAAGAGTATTGATTCGATGGGTCTGTCAGAGTAGCAGTACCAATACCAGCAACAGCAACAGTTACCCAACCAATGTTGACGTATGCAAAGATGAAGAAAATTTGTTGTCAATTTTTTGTTAAAACTATTAACTACGCCATGTTAATTTTATTAGCAAGTCTACACTGTTTTTATTGCTTTCTGTTTGTGTGTTTTTGTTTCATATTTATCTTATTAATTGCGCTAATTGCCTATCCAATTAGCGTATCTTTACCGGATTTTCAATAATGTCTGGCCATTCACTGACGTCTGACGTCAACGTCTTCTTCGATCCAACATTCTGGTCAATTGCCACCTCATTCTGGGCATTCTCATATGCGGCAAGCTTCTCCAATCGCTGCCTCATGCGTTGCTCCAGTTCATCAGTGCTGAATCTCGATTCGCTGCCCAAATTCAATGAATCGTCTCCGTTTGATTGCTGTTCAAGCCGTATTCCATCGCCGTCGCCATCGCCCAAATTGGACTCAATCTTCAGCACTGCAGGCAGATCCTTTGTCTCGATTCTATCTGCCATAATAAGACAGAAATAAAATATATAATATACCTTTTGCCGTTGATGTATTTTTTATGTGTGATTCGTCTGGTTTAATAAACTCATATGTATAACAATTTGCACGAAGCTTGCTCAGTTCATTATTTTTATTGTTTTTTTTTTTTCTTTTTTTTTTTGTAAAGGAAAATTACAAATTCTTTTTTTTTGTCTTTAATTTAGTTCTGTCAGCTAATTCAGATTCGTTTGTTTTTGTTTAAAGTAAATAAAGCATGAGTTTTTCTCACCTGCTCTAAAGCCAAATGCCAAGGTTCGCATGTTCGTGGTTGGCCAACAACAACAAGCCAGAAACTTACAGTTAAAGCCAACTAACTGAATACTATCAAAAGTTAAGCAAACAAACAACTGTCTGGACAGGGTGCTAATGTTGAAGTTGGAGCTGCTTTTGGAGGTTGGTTAATGCATTTTGCCTGTGTTTGCTTATGGCTTTTTGGAGCTTTGGCTCAGTCTCATAGACTGGCTAACTGGCTGGCTGGTGGGCTGCTTGGCTGCTTGGCTGGTTGGCGCTTGGGCAACAACCAGACCAGACCAGGCCAGACCCGACCCGACCAGCCAGCAGCTCTAGCTGGCTACACACCCATATTTCGTTGGAAAGAAGAAATATATATACGAGTATATATAAATTTGGGTGCGTTAGTCAAACACTGATAAAAATCATAAGCCAAAGATGAGATGTAGCAAGCAGCTTGCCCTCACACACACACACACACACATACTCATCGCCGTACGTGTCTGGGGCACAGCCATTAGGACAAAGCAAGCTAAAATATATTAGGCCAATTATGTTTTGTAAAAAATTTACATGTACACTGTGGCGTCAAGTGGCCTCCTCTCCATGCTCCTTACCAACGTTCCCCTACCATGTTTACTTGTGGCGATATCACGATACAAGGCCCGAAACGTGCAACGGCATAAGCGAGTGAACCAAGTGAACCCATCGAGAACTGAGCCCATATTTCCACTAGAGTCTTTTCTTTTCTTTTCTACTTTGTCTTTTTTCTTTTTGTTTTTTGTTATTATTATCGCACATTTTTCTATTTGTATCTACGGTCTTGTGGTCTGTGCCTATCTGAGCACTAGCATCGCCAACGTCTATTTTCATTTGTTCTTTTGCAGGTATTCTGTTTTCACCAAACGTCTTTTCATTCCTGGTAAGAGACTATACTATATTGGATTTTGAATTGGGGGCGCAGGCTTAGGTAATTAATTTTGAGTATTTGAATTCAGATTTCTGTCAGCGATAGTGAGGTGTATGAATAATTTTCATATTGCCCGGACACGTACCTCGTGGCTATCAATGGGTCTTCAGATCATCATCTGGTTTGGTTGCTCGCTCAACTACTTTAATTTATTTTATGTGTCAATGATTGCCACTTGTGGTTACTGAGGCTCAGGAATTGTGCATCAAATTTAAACCATTTTTTTTTTATTCTATTTTTTGAGTAGCTTTGCTTTTTTTTAAAGTATTTTTCTCAGCTTTATTTGGCTAAAATTGAACTGTTTTTGAGGCGATTGAATATATTTATTTTCCTGGCAAGGCAACCAAATGATATATGCGGCCTATAAACATTTCAGATAAGTTGATATTTATCAAATCGGTACGGGGCATCATTTGCAGCGACTGGGAAATAGAAAATGACTTTCGACACGGTTATCAATAACCGGCTATCGATATTTTATGAAAATTGATACGCGCCCCCCCGTGCCGAGCGTTACGATATAAATATAAATAATAAAACACATTATTACTGTTTATACCATACCAAATAGTTTTTTTTTCTTTTCTTTTCTTTTCATTTTTGTTGTTGTTGTTTTTTTGGTTTCCTTTGCTGTTTGTTGTGTGTCCTGGAGTCCTTTACCAATGCCACTCATAAGCGCACTAATCCGTCAAAATTTATTGCCATAACTTGGCTGGGGAGGGGGGGGTGGGTTGTGGGAGTGAGAATGAGAGGCGTCTTCGACCAGGCCAATTGATAACGTGCGTGTGAAATTTATCAAATAAATTGAGGCCATAAATGTCAAAGCTGCGCATGATTCATAGATGGCCAGAGAGCCAACGACGTGTGTGTGTGTGTGCGTGTGAGAGAGAGAGAGAGAATGAGCTTGAGAATGAGAAGGCAGATCTATTGTTGATGCTGCTTATTAGGCCGCATCCGTTGCCAATCAAGATGCCTGCCATGTCCAAAGTCAAGTTTCCTTCAGCTGATAAATTTGTCGGTCGAATTTCGCGATTGCCAGCAATTTATTAAAAAGCCATCAAAAATTAATCATCACATTTGATATGTGGTAAAGTCGCCGCATATTTCTTATGTGCCTATTAAATTTCAGCAAATGTCGCTCAAATATCGATTTCATCTTAGATCTGGCTACAGAGCAGTCTCAATTAGACACTTTTAGCTTGTAGTTGTTCATTTGTTTGAAATGAATTAATCAGAATTAAATACCCCTATCTCAATATCCACTTCAAGTTGAAATTGGGGCTCAGCACACAGCGTGTCTATCATTATTTTCAATTCTGATTCGTTTTTTTTTATTTTGCCGCTTTTTTGCACTCTGATTGCATAAGCGAGTTCAAAGCATTTTAACAGTATTATTCATTTTGGTTTTCTGGTAGTTGTTTATTATTATTTTTATGATTTTTTCTTCTTTTTTTCTTTGCATCCAACAGCGGTTTCTGCGGGCGGAACATGGATAATGACAATGCATTCATTGCACCCCCAGCCGCAACACAAAAGGCAGCGATTTTATGAACATACATACATAAATAATACATGTGAATATGTGTATACATATATACATATAGAGTACGAATATACTCATGATTGCATACAATTCCCACTTCTCGCTGCACTGTGAGAAATTTTGCAAGAAATTACCATTGATAAAAGCGATAAATGAAGAAAAATATTTTTATTCATATATATTAAAAATATAATTCTCTTAATTAAAAAAAAAATTAAAATTTATTTCTCATAAAATCTTGGTGAGCTTAAAAACTCAATGAATAACAACAAATAAAATTAAATAAATAATCAGAGCAATAAAAAAGGAAAAGTTTCTTCCAGCTATTTTGATGGCTACACCTCTTTGCCTAGACTCTCAGGGACACTTAAATAAAAGTTAATCAAGACTTATATTTGCCAACTTTTGGGACAATTCACAAGATACTTATATTTCATATAAAACTAAAGTTTTTCCCATTCAAGCCACTTTTGCCGATGCTTGAGCATTCTTAGTCCTGAAAACTCCTTGAACTGAAGAGGCGAACTAATAGTTTTGCAAAATTTATAGTTGAAAATGTCTGGTGTTGTTTTTATTGTCTAGATACCGTAAGCTGTCCGTTTAACTATTTAAACAATGACCTTTCGCCCCCATTCCAGACGATTGTTTAAGAAAAACAAATAATGTGCTTATGCAGCACCATCAATTAGATCGGAAAACTGAAACCGATTCCAATCATAGCCAAACAAATGGCCGGCAAACCGAACCGAGCAGAGAACTGGCAGCTCTTAATAAAAGTCAATTGGCAACCACACAATTGTTTTGGGGGGGGATGGGTGGTTGGAGGGTGCGCTATCCACGTTGAGCAATGGGGGTTGTGTTTGGGTCTCGAACACATTTGAAATTTGAATAAAATGTCTTTTTATCGCACTTAAAGGCCATTTAGTAAGCTAAATTATACCGACGAGCACGGTATTATAAATACGGCAAACACAAATGCTAAATCCAAAAGCTTCTCCCCCCCTCCCAAAAAAAAAAACTGAGACCCAAAAACCCAAACAGAAAACCCAAAAAAAAAATCGCAGTCAAATTGGCCATGTTAAACCGCAGACCATTTGACTTGGCTATTGTAGTTGATGTTGTTGCAAGTTGTATAGTAGTTGACCCGACTTATCTTCAAGCGGCAACGGGCCAAACGTAAACTTGCCACAAATTGGCCGAGAGTTGTTACTGCCTGTTGTTGCTATTGCTGCTGCATAAGTCCAATTTATTTTTGGTTTTCTGTTTTCTGTTTTTTTTTTGTTTTGTTTTTTTTTTTTATTTTTTTGTTCACTTCAAAGCAAAACCAAATCGAATTAAACCAAAATCTACATAAGCTTTTTCTCTCCGTGTGGCTACACTACTAACACATCTATGGGTCCACTTCTGTACCTCTCCATCTCACTCACTCACTCACTCACTCGCTCTCACTCTCTCCCTTTCGCTCCATTTGTCCATTTATTTGCTGCTGCCACTGATGTAGCTCGTGTTGTTGTTGTTGTTGCTGTTATTGCTGTTATTGCTGTTGTTGCTGTTGTTGCTGGGCATGAATTACATTTCTCTTCGCATTCGCATTCGCTTTGTAGCTGCTGTTGACTTTTTCTATGCCCTATGTATAAAGTCCCATAAATCTCAGAGTCGATTTGTTACCCATACGTGTATATTCTAAAAATATATGTAAAAAAGCATACTCTTACTTAAAAGTTATTTATTAGATATAATTAAATTTTTATTGGCAATTTAAATACTACTATGAAGCCAAGAAAAAAAGTTCAAGTCAAAAGCTTATGATTTTATATTAATTACTTTTCTGCGTTCAGCTAGATTTGAGCTTACATTAAAAATTCATATATTTAAAGTATTTTAAATATATATTAATTATATTATATGTTTAAAGCATTTTATATTTTTTTTATATATATTTTTATATTTTATATACATTTTTTTTACATTTTATATACTTAATTTAAAACAACAGTTAAAGTCCAAAGTTGTCTCAAATGCGAAAACATTTTGATTTTACATGAACTACTTTTCTGAGTTCAGCTTGATTTCCAACTCAGTTTGAGTTCACATTAAAAAAATATATATTTAAAGCATATTATATATATTTCGTATAAATTATATCAGCGAAAGGGTGTTCAATTTGTGGCCAGTTGAAAACTGCTTTTCTTTCATGTTTCGCTTTTTCTTTTTTCAGTTTTTTTGTTGTTTTTATTTTTG